GGCTATCTATGGACATATCGTATGGTGATACATCGATGAGGTTTTAGCCTTGTTTCTAAAGGCTATTCATCAGACACCAAGGTCACACAGTCTCTCGGCTCTCATCCGGGCATACTCCGACCTCATCAAAGGCTAACCTACTAAACCCTCATCGGCTATATCTCTATGCCCAGATATCTTGGGTTTTTCCAACCTGACTGGCCTAGCACGTTGAGCCTAATTCAAGTATTAGCAAATAACATTTGCCTAGTATGATCCACAAGTAGACCGCACTCCCATTGAGTTTGTGTTTCACTATATAAAATGCTCATACAAGCCTCATAAGGCCACATAAATCTAACACAATATCCCGAACATTGAGGGTGGTCAACGTTGTGCCAAGCAGACCAAGCCTGTCCACGATATCTATAACAATGAACAAGCATTCTAGGGTGCAAATGTGAACGTCAAAATCGAAACGATATCCATATTTTGAATAGATGGTAATACCATAAAGTACTCACATGAATGGTAAACCAAGAACAACATCCATGTACGGAAAGAGTCAAATAGTAATAACTATATAAAAGCAATTAGGGACATCTAGGTCCTAATCCCTCAACACAAGCTCTATACTTTTCTCTAGCTATAGGCTCAATTGTGGGTCTCCTATCATCTTATTATAGAGATTACATGTCATGACTATCACTTTCCTCTCAATGACAGCCCATGCATAGTGATACTTAGTTTTTATGTGCTATGTCTTACTATGATACTTAAGATCCTTTGCGAAATTGTATGATGCCTTATTATCAAAAAAAAAGAACACTCACAAGCTCTCAAATACTCAATATGTTATGTAAGATTTTATAGGAATCGCATGAGCTATATGCTCTCCTGCAATGCTATATATCAACGCATATACTCTGTTTCCATATTGGACAAACCAATAATGTCATCTGAATTATCGTACACATAAATCGCTCCCACTCCTGGAGTGGATACATTTTTCTGAGGTCAATGGTTAATAATCCTGATCACCCATCCAGTTAGACTTATTCTTTCCTCATAGTGGAGATTGTTTCCCAGAAAGAGCTATGCGTTGTCTACAGTTCTTTAGAGATATCATAGTGTCAAATTTATGGTTTGCTAATATTCGGGTCATGGATTGCTCTGACAACAACTTGATAAACCCTACAGTACATCATGCCATGTTCATAATATCACATTAACAATGTTGCCTGCTATGCTTGCATGTGGTACACAAATCATTTTTTCATATATCGGTCCTTAATGACATTAAAATAGAAGATTATTAAGCACATAAAGAGAGAGATAGAGGATTAACATATCAAGTAAAACAAAAAAAAAAAGCAAAAATGTAGAGAGTGGTAGAGAGAGAGGATTAAAACTCATATAAACAAAAGAAAAATATAAAATTATCGACAATAAAAAAAACCCAAAATAACAAAAAAAAACTTAGGGAATATGAAATACATTCCATGACACCCCACTTTGATTCTCTTCGTGAATTTACCTAAAAAATAGAAAAATTGAGTGCCTTCAGAACCACAAACAATATGTATCATTTTCCAATCACTGCTTCTCTCTCTTTCAAGAACTCTATCCCTCCCTTAGCTTAACATGGCAACCATTGCCATTGAAATTTGCAGGGAAGAGGGAAAAAATGGTTTTGGGTTGAAAGAGGGAAAATTTATTCTAGGTACATAGCAGGAAAATGATTTATTAGGTATGATAAAATGGGCTTGGAGCATTTTTTAACAATTGTTTTATAATTGCGAGAAAGAAAATAGGTAAAGTTATAAATATGAAAAAGCAAAATCAATCGCAAATTTGTTTTAATCCAACAGTTGGAATCTAAAATCACCCTAACACTTTGTATCAACAATACATGATCTTTCCGCGTAAGTTATTTGACCTTCTAATATTTTGAGATAGTTTGACGATTTAATAACATTTTTCCTATTTGAGTTAAGGATGGGTTTCCATGAATACTAAGCCTTATAAAAAAAGGTAAAGCCTCATCTCAAAACCTCATCCAAAAAACACTTTGGCATCATGGCTCAAAAATCTATTTACACCACCAATTATGATATTTGCACCTCAAAAAATAGAAATTGCATAGATCTATAAAAATTTGAAAATGGGTAGTCTAGATAATATGTTACAATATACACTATTTTTAGAACTTGAAATCCTTATATTTTTCCCTCATCCATATTGGCCAAGGTTGAGATTAACTATTTTAAGATTTTCCAATGTTGGAAAGCAAAATTTTGAAAAGATTAGAAAGGCAGTTCGAGGACCTGTTGGTCAAAGGGGAATTGCAAATTTTGGGGCAGAACCATATGACGTGAGAGTGTCACATACGATTCCTTTGAGAAGGGTATGATACCACCGCCTATCGAGCCCGACGAGTGGTCCATGTAGCTGCATCCTTGCTCACCTGGTCCATCCCACCTCGCTCTTTCCAAGAGGATGGCCACCTATCCTAGATCTTCTCATTTCCAATAAGATCTCAGGCTCGATCTAGTTTAGTATCGAGGTGATTCTCTTTCTGTTCCAATATATATGGGCATGTGTGGCATTTCAACGATATCATTATGATCAATCAATGGGACCTAGCCAGAATGTCTTCTTTCCTTTATCACTAGCTCGGGTAGTCCACGTTTCTGGTATTCCAATCACCTTTCAATGGTTCCCTTAATGTATCTGCTAAGAAGTGTACTTCCAATGGTTCCCTTAATGTATCTGCTAAGAAGTGTATGAAGAAGCCGACTACTCCCCGAAAATAACCTGCCTGTAGGTTCTAGTGTCATTAGTGCAAACTTGATTCTTTGCTCGTTCAACCTCATGTAGAAAACTTCCTTTTTGTATGCTCAGTAGGTCATAGAGGAGCTTTCCCTCTTTCCTTTCAACTCAAACAAGCAACAGTCCCTTCTATCCATTCTAGCTCTTGCTGGCTTTGGCTACGGGTGCGAGTACTCGAGGGCAACTTGAAAGAAAATCTATCTTTGCATTAGTCAGTACCGAGACTCCGGGCTAGGACTCATATAAAGAGTATGTTTGTTCTCCTGGCCCAAAAACTCCTTAAAGCCGGAAGTCAGATAGGTTTTGTTAGTTTATTTACAGTGAAGGTGCTAGTGGAATGCTGTAGATCCTAGAGAATTCATTCTCTTGCAGTACTAGTTGTGGAGGAAGATTACTGCTAGGTTACTTTGTCATAAGGCCTAAGCCCAATTTTGACCTTTTCTTTGAAGGGAAAATTATGTATGGACCGTATTTGGGTTTGTTTATTAGGGATGGGTCGATTATTCCTGTAAATTACTCCCACACACCTCCCCTTGGACGGGCCTTATTTCTTTCCCTTAATTGCTCGTCCCATGCAGCAATGAATGTGAACACCAGATAGGACAGGGAAACAAAAACACGAAAAAAAATAAGGCACGTTACTTGCCCCTTGCCATATATCGTGATCCCATGGGAAGCTATTGCATATCTACTCCCTCAGTCAATACACCTAGCTACATTGATTTTTTTAATATAAAGTTTTTGGAACCATACAAAAATTACTTGAAGCTATATAAAAATTACTTGATGATTATTTTTAAAAGAAAAAATTTTAATTTTGAGTTTTGTGACACTTAGATCTAGCCCTTAAAAAATTGGACGATCTCTATTCAGTCTTGATGCAATGATTTTTTTTTTTGTAGTATGTAAAGAGCTTATTTTGGATTTTCTTTTTTTAAAAAAAAATAAAAGATTACTCTATGGGTCTTAGAGATTATATGCCCAAATTTTGAGATGCAAAAAGTATCCCTAGCATGTATTTTGCCCAAGGGAGTTAATGAATAATACACACCTGCGGGAGTATGATATCTTCTGGCATCTAATTTATGCTTTGCATCGTTAATATTGAATTCCCTCATGTGTGTTGATATTGCAGGGAAATAATTGATAAAAAAAAGGATGGTTTATAAAGAGATCATTTATCTTTTATACATGGAGGTCACAATCATTCTTGTCCCTTAAAAATTAAAAAATGGATGGTTGTAAGGGTGTCATTGAATAGGTACAAAGTTCCAAATTTTTTTTTTTTCAGATTTTGTGACTCACTCCAAGCCATCTAATTTAATATCTAATGAGTGGGAATGATTGTGACCTCTATGTATAAAAGATAAATGGTCTATTCGTGGACAATCCAAAAAAAAAATAGGGAAATTTATGTCCGTACTGGTTTTTTAAACCAAAAAGATCCCAAAGTAGGCTGTTATTACTCGAAAGGATGGGCCCCTTGTGCATTTTTATTTTTTTGACAAATTTTCCCCTAGGCCTCATTTTTTGATGGTTTAAGGTGGTTCTAATATCAGACCCGAGACAAACTTAAAAAAAAATAAAAAAATCAAGGGAAAATGACCTCTGCATAAATATCGTATATTTTTGGACCATCACATAATAACGGTCAAATAAAACGGTACAGACGTAATTTCTCCCATAGAAAAAAAAAAAAAAAGCCTGCCCATTAGGAGGGGGTGGGGCATAATTTATATAAAACCTAAGATAAACGAACCCAAGTGAGATCCATGCATAATTTCCCTTCTTTGAATTAAAGGGTCCTGTTGCAAAGAAAGACAAGTTGCAGAATGGCACATTGCAATAAACCACTTGGGGAAAGGTGTGAAAGTGAAAGGTGCCACAACCAGATGATAAATCACTTCATGGTTAATGTACACCCTCTCACTTGGACGGCCCTGATTCAGGATGGCTATCACCATAACAGTGAGGTAGCCTGCCTATCCATTATTGCTCTGTGAAGAGCTTGACTGTCACATTTTAAAGCCATTGTTGCTTAGTAAAGAACTTTACTTTCAACTGGATTGGTTCAGTAGAGACGTACTGACCAACCATACACTTGTACCCATTCATTAAATGGACTTTGCAATATGCCAAATGGTGATGTTCCCCTCTCTCTCTCAACACACACATATGGGTGATGTCTCTCTCTCTCTCACTCTCATAAGGGTGATATCTCTCTCTCTTTCTTACTTTGTATGCCCCTGAAGCTACCTCCCACTTCTATAAATAGCAGTGAGTGAAGCTGCTTTTCTCACTCTTGTGAAAATGGGTTCTAAGTTTCTCTTGATGCTATGCACTATCATGCTTGCCATCCCTCTCAACTCCTCAGAGGTGGCAGCCGGGGAAGTTGAGAAAAAACCAACCAAGAAAGAAGAGAAAACCAGTAAGTAGCATTCTCATATTTGCCAAGGATTGAAGGAGTTTTTTGATTTATCATAAAAATATTTAGACATTTGTTTTTAGAGTTTTAAGACTAGGCCGAGGTCACTAGGAATTGGCCCTAAGGGTGAGCCGAGTTTTAATTTTTTCGTTAGTAGGGCACTACCCTAAAGATTGGGGGCATTGCCCCTACTAACGAAAAACAAAAAAAAAATGGACCAAAGATTGCATCTGCATACCCAGGGGTGATTTTGAAAAATAAAAAAGTTAAGTTGACCGGCTTTCTTTTGTAATTTCCACTTAGAAATGAAGCATTTCCTATTTCTAGAAAAACTTGGATATGGCGAGCTAGCTCACATATGTTTGTCAAGTGCAGATGAAGTTATTGTAGAGGAGGATGCACATACAGAGCAATATGGTGGATATGGCCCTGATTATGGTGGCGGATCCCCCGGCTACGGTGGGCGTGGTGGTGGGTACCCTGGATACGGCGGAAACCCAGGCTACGGTGGAAACCCTGGATACGGCGGAAACCCTGGATACGGCGGAAACCCAGGCTACGGTGGAAACCCTGGTTACGGCGGAAACCCAGGCTATGGTGGGCGTGGCGGTGGAAACGGCCCCGGCAACGGTGGTGGGCATGGAGGCTATGGATGCGGCCCCTACAGACGCCGATGCTGTGGCTATAGGAGGTGCTACTGTTGCTCGCAAGCCGAGTTCGAGGCCCTGGCCAAAACACAAGTGAACACTGAGGCCAAGCCCCATAACTAGGCCAATAAGTTCAGTGCATGCTTCTTTTATTAGCGTGAATAAGGAGCACCTTGAGTGAATAAAGAGCACCGTGTTGGCTTTCTCAACCGTAAGGCTACGTATAGATGATCTTATGGGTGAGGGACTACAACCATTGCTGGTTCAAGTTTGCTGTGAATTTATAGCCCATGTGTGACACTTTATATTTCTACTATGTAACTTGAAAATCTTACAAGTTACAGTCATACTATTTTTATGTAGAGAGCTTGTATATTTGTGTGTTTTGGTTTTGGAGATACCATATCCTAGGGCCGTTTCCATCCAAACTTCTCAGTGATGGATTTTGGATTTAAAATTTAACATCTTGATAGTCTCAATTACCAAAGTGATGAATCTGAATAAAAAATTAAATTTTAAATATTAAAAATGGATTTTTTTAGTTTTTTTTTTTAACCATTGTTGTATAGTTGTAGGTAGTTTTGATTGTTTTTCAAATAATATGTTTCTAAAATTTAAATTCCATTGTCTCCCATTAATAATTATGGTGCTCGAGGATATGAATTGTAGATCCAAAATTCATCAACAAGATGGATTTTGCAAGGGCACAAATATGAAAATGGAGGCACCAAAATTTTTCCTTATGGTTGATGAGGGAAATTAGTATGGAAACAATTTTAAAAAATATTTCTAAATTTCTGAATCAGAATGAGCAAAAAAACACTGAGGAAAGGTTGAGTCGGTTCCAATGTCCGTGACAAAGGGTTCCCCCTTCTTACTGCCTTTCCCAATCACCTCCCAGTCCATAAGTCCTTTATCATGCATCTAGAAGTAGAAAATGAGACAGTACAATTTTGTTTAATGAGTTGACCAACATAAATTCAATTGGCTAATAGACTAGGCACATAGAAAGTATTAGAAAGATATAAAGGTGTAATGAGCAATGAGCCAATTTTCGCTACATGGAGGGATGGACCATTTGTAATATGAATGCTCTGAGTGCTTGTATATGGAACAACTTCTTTTAAGAATGTGAAGTTGCTTATCATATGATTAGAGGAACCAGAATATAATACCCAAGAAGTTTTAAGATCGGCCTTACCAAAACCGGAAACGTGGGGTGCTTGTAATGACTTGTTGAAGACATTCTGGTGTGAGAGGAAGCGGCTGACTTGGAAAGGGAAGAAATGTTGGTGCAGGTGCAGTAGAAGGGCCTCTTGTTTTGGGGTCATTTTATGCATTCAGTGATCAAATGTCCAGCTTCCTTGTAATAGTCGTAGATATTCTTCTTCTTCCAATTATTAGCTAAATGACCCATCTCCCAACAGTGGTAACACTGACCCTTGTGTATGTCTCGATTTTTTTCCTTTACTTGAATTAGTTTAGAGTACAAAATCTCTCAAATAATCGCTATAGATTGACAATGACTTTAATCGAGTCTCTTCTACCAATAGTTTAGGAAGATATTAATGTCATGGTTATCTTCCCCATTGAGAATTGCGGCTTGCACATTCTCAAACTCAGACCTTAGTTTCATTAAAAATTGTTGAGAGTGTGAACGTTGTCTGAGTTTAAGTATTATGTCTATAGCCCCTACAGGAATCTTGACGTCTATCATATCCATTTCATTCCAAATCATCATCATTGCATAATAAAATCATTGAATACTTTCTTTATTCTTAATTCAATGAACTTAATTCTTTCTCTAGTTGATTCATCCTTGCCTCATCAAATTGTTGATATATATGCTTGAACTATTCCCGCATAGCCTTTGTTATGTTTAAAGGGCTCGGATTAACAACAATAGAATAAAGTTCTCAAATGACTCCATAAGCCATGTCTTTAACTTTCACATTATTAGTTGTCCACTTGGAATCAATGGCCCCATTTGACTGCTAGATTATGAGAGTCCATGTTTGTTTATTTATTTATTTATTTAAAAAACTTGGTGGAGGGTTTAGTTGAGAGGAGTATGAGAATGACTAGAGAGAGGTAGAGAAGGATCTTCAAATCAGTATGGTCTCTAGGACCATAAAAAAATGATTGTGTTGGATTGAGTTGAAAACTCACCAATGGGAAAAGAAAAACAAAAACAAAAAAAAGGAAAAAAAAACCACGCTCAAGGAAACATAAAGTTAGAGAGAGAAAGCAACATACTCAAATTTTCATTAAAAAAAAAACAAAACAAATTGCAGATAGAAAGAGCAATGAAAACTCAACAAAGTCACCAAACGAATAGAAAGTCAGGAAGATCCAATAGAGACACAATGGAGACAAAATGAGAGTAACCCAATAACGAAATAAAACAATAGGGACGAGAAGTAAAAAGAAAGAGCCCACAGATAAGTGAATGAAAAAAAAAAAAAAAACCAACAAATGTTCAAGAATACCACACAAACTCGTGCATAAACCTAGTCACTGACTGCACTAAAAGCTTGCACAGACTCGTGCAAGATGTAGCACAATAACCACAGCAACGATCCGCCAATGGAATGTAAAGGGAGTTAATCGTCAATGGAATGTGAAGGGAGCCATGCAAATGTAAAGCAAAGGTCTTTTAAGAGGTTTGGATTTATCACTAATGGAGAATATCAACGGATTTAGGGAATCACGTCAATGGAATGGCACAACTAGAAATAAGTAGGCAGGCAACAACCTCTCTCTCGAAACTACAACAACCTATACAACAAATTCATTCAAACCTATACAACTTCATTCAAACCTATACAACTTCAAAATAGGAATTCGTTATCCTATACAACAAATTCATTCAATCCTATAAAGCTTTGTCCTTATCTTTACTTTATATACAGGTAGATATTCAAACTACAACAACCTATTTGCTAAAACTACCACCTAATCTCAACCCCAATCCTAATTTTTAAGTACTTTCTCTCTCTAAAATTTGATATACTTTTTTTCTTTCTAAAAATTTGGCTTACTTTCTCCCACTAAAATTTAAAAATTGAGATAGTTTCTCTCTCTAAAAAGTTTTTAGGTAATTTCTTTTAAAAAAATTAGGTACTTTCTCTCTCTAAAATTTTCATACCTACCAAATGTGCCCTATGTTTCAAGTCAAGTGGGGCGACGAGTGGAATCCCTAGGCCTTGGAAATAATAATAAATAAATAAATAAAAAGGTTTTGGTGTGGAAATGAAATCGTGGAAAAATTAAGGGATTTATTTAAGATTTAATTTCCATGAAACTATGAAAAAACAACTCTTTTTCAATTCTTTTTCTTTTTCTTCACGGCTTAGATCACTCATAAGTAGTTTTTTACAATAAATCAACTTCAAATAAAAGAAATAAATCTAGGATCTCAAGACCTTATGCCATTCAAAACGTCACTTTTCATTAACAAAGAAAAGACAACCTATGATTGGGACTAAAGGAGACAATAAGTAAACAAGCAAGAAACAAAAGAGGGTGTCAGATATTTGCTTCAACCGGACTTCTTACATCCTACATCAAGTCACCACCTTCCGATGGCATGGAATCTAATGGTTAACCTTCAATCTCAACCAGGAAAACAAGTTTTGGACAAATCACACCAATGGAATATGAAACCCCTTTGATCACAAACTCTAACCTTAGGTCAATCCCTTTGATAACCTAGTTTGAGAGATAACTTCTCTTTCTATCAAACCCTAAACACCTTGCCCGAATGTGAGATGGAAGAGATGAGACAAACACAATGATAGAGATAGAGTGGGGCGTGTCGCCCTTAGGTTTCTTTGAGGGTGAGAGAGAATCTTCTTATAAGTGGGGCGTACCCCTAATTTTTTGCACAAGATAGAGAGAGAGATAAAATCATTTACTAGGGGCATACCCCTCTATTGTATATTGCAGAGAGAAGAGAGAGATTTTAGGTCTATAAGAGATATGGTATACAAAATATTGGGTGGGGTCCATCTGTTTTTATAGTGCTTGAATAGATTTAGGATATTTTAGGGTTTTTCTTGGCTTGCCACTCATGTGATATTGAATATGCACCATTGATCATGGGTGACTTGTCGAGTGAGAGATAATAGCCGTCTATTCCATAGATAGGCCATCAATATCACATGAAATGTACTATAACAATTGTCCCCTACTTCCTAAACCATTTTCTTATCAATTAATTCAAATAAGAAATTAATATAAGATGATAGTATCATTTTTTATTTCATGCATAAACCTTCTCATATATACCAAAAATTTCATTCAAAATTTCCTCAAGGATTAAGCTTTCTTAAAATAATACTTTCTTTTCTTTCAAGCTTTAGAGCATGACCAACAAAATGGAAAGCCAACTAGGCGGGGCGTGCCATCCTTTGTGGCACATAATGAGCCCCACCTAATTTGCTATAGTGGGCACATAAGTCCTATTGGGCCTTCCATGCAATTATACTAGTTTTTTATTTTACAAAAATATAAAATCATTATTTGAATATGTAAATCAATATAAAATCAATATATCTAGTTTTATATGTTCAAATTTGATAAATAAAATATCCAAAGATTTAAAAAAATTCAAATAACAATTCTAAAAATCATACATTATTAAAATAAATAAAATTAAATACTTTGATGGGAAAATGATCCATATGGTCTAGGAATAAATGTGCATTCTACTTCCAACTGTAGACTACGGACCACACATGCATTCTCAAACAGACCCAACGTTGCCATGACTCACAGTCTACGTAGGAGTTCATTAGTGGGTCACCAAAGTCTAGCCAATGGGCAAGGGGTCGCAGTTCCAGTCTATGGATTTTAGGTTCCTCTGGAGATGAAACCACAGTAATCCTAACCTGATGGAATCCATCGCTCGATGGTACATGGGGGTTATCTCTTGTAGATGTATACGCTTCACCCTGAAAGGTGGTTTGCTTTTCTGAAAATGGCTATCACTATGGATGTCATGTGATGGTATGCAGATGAGGTTTTGGCTCTATCTTTGAAGGCCTCCATCACACACAAAGGTCACACAGTCCCTCAGTTCACTCTTCCGGACATACTCCGACCTCATAAAGGGAGGACCCACCAACCCTTATCGGTTTGTATTTTCATGCCTAGGTAACATCAGTTTTTTCCAACCAGACTAACCTAGCACGTTAAGTATAGTCCAATATCAGCAAAAATCATTTTATTAGTATGGTCCAAATGGGACCACACTTCCACTGAGTTCATGTTTCACTATGTAATTCATTTACAAGCACTCATAAGGTCATTAATGGCTACACATACCCAACATCTCCCACTTGGCCTTTGAAGGCCTTATATTCTTTCTTCCTCACTTTCTCTCATTCCCATCTCTCTTTCTCGTGTCTCACCAAATCATTA